CCCCGGGGTTTTTTTTTTTTTTTTTTTTTTTGCAATGGAGGGTACATAAGCGTGTGTGTGTGTATAAAGAGTACAAAAAATGTTTATATAGCGAGAGGGGGGGAGGTGAAAGGGACGGGAGTGGGAGGAGTATCGATTAGTCAAATGCACGGTGTCCCCCACACCACTCGTAATCCATACGCATATATCTAGCGTTTGAGTATAGGGGTGCAAAACGGGCTCGCAGGGGCCATCCCACCTCATCCGACCCGTTTCTAATTCAAGACATGGGATTTAATATGGTTGAGCAGACAATTGAATTAGGAAGCCGACAAAGACAAGGAAAAAATATGATATAATTTTATTAGTCGTCTGCGTGCTGATGTCAAATTCTACATAAAACCACACCAAAAAAAAAAAAAAAAATTAGAACAGCAGTCGATGTCACTGACGAGACAAAATGAGTGGCTCCGAGACAGATATAATATGCCCACTCAACTAAATTTTTTACAAAAACAACGTATGACGACCCCCGTGGCATGTGGCCTATCCGAAAACCCATTTTGGCTCTCGAGAGAATGTTACACACACGAAAAAAAAAACATTATTGAAAAATGACAAAGATAAACAGATTTAAAGGCGAAGAAGAGATGTCCTGATTTATGAGTTCAATAAAGTCGATTTTACCAAAGTTGTTTTCTCTATTTACCCAATTTTTTTTTTATCTAAAGCAATCATTTCATTCTTATTTTGACCAAAGTTTTAAAGTAAATTTGGACCAAATAATTCGTGTAGTTGTGGGAAATCACTCTTAAGTTCCATCGAGTTTAAGCCATACTACAAAAAAAAAATTTATAAATTTATGGTACATCTATATTTAACTACTCTATTCCGAATTTGCACTATAAAAATCATTTCAAAATCCTATATTCGTTTTCAGAGAAAAAAAAAACATAATTAATTAAATAGGTCGAAAGTCAATGAATTTTCTGGTTATAAAAAAAATTATAATATAATATGTAGGAGCGTTTTTTGTGTGTGTGGAAGACAAGACATCAAACGATGAGAAGGGAGACTCAGTGGAGATGGGAACCACAGAGAGTGTCCTTTTGACGTGGAGACAGCCAGCCATGAAACCCACATGACACACACACACGTTACCTCCCTCTCCCTTCTCGTAACTTATATAGAGATCCTATAAAATGAAAAATAATTACTCTATCACAAGAGATAGAAAAAATATTTTCACAATTTTTTTTTTGGTTTAATATTTTTACAAATTTGTTGGCCAACTCTGAATTGAAAAATACTTGACGACAACGACCTATCTATTATAAAGAGGACAAACGGAAACCATACAAAGTCTAATAGCTTGTTTGTAATCATACACATCGAAATCTCTTCCACCCGCACTTGTAAAAGAACTCAACAATTGTTCCATTTTTTTTCTTTTTATATTTTCATCAGAAAAGCCTCCGGTCAACTCTCGTGGGCCCCACCATCTCCAGTATTGGGCCCCACGTGGGCCGCTTGTTGGCCCATTAGCCGCCCACAACAACAATGCATGTCGTATTTCAATCGAGTAATTGACAATACACTGAAACGTATACGAAAGGAAGCGTGAACCGTCAGCTTTCATATAAAACAGGTCTTTTATTGTTCTGCTCGTCATGTTGTATTCCGTATATTATTCTGTTATTGAATACATTGATAAAATATTCACACACACAAAAAAAAAAAATCTCCGCCAAAAAATATCCAAATTTTTTCACATGATTATAACATATGAAATTTCAATGTAGACATATTAGGTAGCGAAATGTCTTGCAATGATATAAAAAACACCAAAATCGGTAAAAGGATGAAAAAAATTTACATCATCAAAGTGTGTTTTTGTCATTGACTTCAAAATACAAAATAACATCCAACATTGAGTAACTCAACCGATAAAAAATGAAATAAAATCTTCACTTAGAGAATAATATTCATATAATTTTTTTCGATTTTACGAGAGACATGGGAAATATAAAAAAAAAATACAAAGCAAACTTTAAAATTTTTAACGTTTTGCCTTCTTCACTCTCTTTTTTCGTTCTCCTTTAAAAAATATTAGATTTTAAAAGTTTCCAGCGACATGCAGGTGACAAGTTGCAGAAGACAGTGTCGACGTGTCAACTGTAGAGATGGATCTCTTCCGACGAGATCGAACCACGCATGATGACGTCATCCTTAGACTGAGAGACATGTGGGTCCCATCGACTGGTCCCCCGAGCAGAGCGGGCGTTTATGCGCTAATTGACGCTGCCTGCCTTGTGATAACGCGTCGATAATCCCGATATCTTTTCGTTTTCATGCATATTATGTGTGTATATATAGATATTAATTTATTCATGAATTTGCCACTTCTAAGATAAGAAATTTCACAATTTTTAAAGCTGTTTAAAGAAAAAAAAATGTTTCCAAAACTATTCATAAAGGACTTTAAATAAGTTATTATAAATAGAATAACCACAGGAAAAACTATTGATATTGAATAAAAATATAAAACATCATATTTTTTTTTCATTTTAGGTCATGGTTGAGGTATGTGAAAAGGAAAAAAAAAGGGATTGACAGATCAGGGTGATGATAGATTATTTTTTAATAATTTACAAAAAAAAAGTATAGCAAATATAGGTAATGATCTAATTTCAACAGTCTCATTAGTATTACCGTTGTAAAGAGGTAATTAAAAAGAAAAGAAATTGTTAAAAAAAAGGAATAAAGAGGGCCCGCACTCAAATCAGACGGTCACCTTTTTTAATCAACGTTCTTCCACTCTCTAGGGCTCACCTTTCCTATATCTCTCTCCCCCCCCCTCGAGCTTCCAAGTAAAATCCAAGCCCCATAGCTTGTGATTCCGCCGCTCTTCTTCCCCACTAACCTGTACTCTCTCTCTCTCTCTCTCTCTCTCTCTGCATCTGATTGTTTATCAGGAGAAATTTCTCTTACTCTCCCTGGGTTCCTCTTGCATCGGGAGTCGGCGGAGTCGCTTCGTCGCCGGAGAGATCTGGCCGGAGAATGGCGTACATGTGCGCTGACAGCGGCAATCTAATGGCCATAGCCCAACAAGTCATCAAGCAGAAGCAGCAACAAGAACAGCAACAGCAGCAGCAGCAGGACCACCAGATTTTCGGCATCAATCCTTTGTCCATCAACCCTTGGCCCAACACCACCCACCAATCCCTCGGATTCGGGCTTCCGGGCCCGGGTTTCCCCGATGCGTTTCACGTCTCCGCCGCCGGAGACTCCGGTGACCCCTTCCCCCAGCTCGACCATCACCATCCCGTCAGTGCCGGCGGTGGGTTTAGGTTCTCGGATTTTGGCGGCGGAACCGGTTGCGAGTTTGACTCGGACGAGTGGATGGAGAGTTTGATTGGCGGTGGGGACTCGGCCGCAGACGGTCCTAATCTGCAGCCTGGCTGCCCTACCTGGCCGAGCAATCCCGAATTCGCCATCTACCGGCCTGAATGTGTCATGATGACGTCACCGGATTTCCCCCTGACGTGTCCTTTTCTTCATGACTCGTCTCCCCTGCACCTTCCCGTACCGGATCTCATATCCCTATTCACTTCTTATTTCCTTACCCCTCACTTTCCCCATAATTACTCAATACCATTCTGCAGAATGCCCCACCACCCAAACGATGCGGCTTCAAAAGCCCAGAAATCTCACGACGCGATACACGTGTCATGTCCGCAAGACACGTAAAATTTAAGAAGAACACGTAAGTTCATTGGCGGTGGGGACTCGGCCGCAGACGGTCCTAATCTGCAGCCTGGCTGCCATACCTGGCCGAGCAATCCCGAATTCGCAATCTACGGCCCTGACCCCTTCGTGGCATGTCCTACTCGACTGAGTGCCGCCTGTTCTCAGCCGTCTGATCTCAACCGAGTCATCTTCTCAGATAAGAACGACCCGGCGAGTCCGCTTCACCAGCCGCCGGTTTCTACCAGCATGTGGGCTACTTCTCCGCCATTAGCGCACCCGCTGCCCCCTCCGCCGCAGCAGATAACCCAGACGGCGGTGGCGAAGGACCTCGAAAAAAATGACTCCTTCGGCGCAGATTCGCCGTACTTCGACCTCGAGGTGCCACTCCTGAAAACTCTCCACGATTGTGCCCGGGCAGCAGATTCAGAACCGGATCGTGCCGCCGAAGCGCTTGTCCAAATCCGGGAGTCGGTGTCGGAGCTTGGAGACCCGACGGAGCGAGTTGGGTTTTACTTCTCGGAGGCTCTCCGCGGCAGATTATCTCAGGAATCTGCGGCGACGGCGAGGGAATCTCCGGCGTCACTTGAGGACTTCATCCACTCTTATAACACCTTAAATGACGCTTGCCCGTACTTGAAATTCGCTCACTTGACGGCGAACCAGGCGATTCTCGAAGCTACGGACCAGGCCAGCAAGATTCACATCGTCGATTTCGGGATTGTTCAAGGCATTCAGTGGTCAGCCCTTCTCCAAGCTCTGGCGACCCGGGCTTCTGGAAAACCCGCTCGTATCCGGATCTCGGGTATACCCGCTCCATCTCTGGGCGAGTCTCCCGGCCCCTCTCTTGTCGCCACCGGAAATCGCCTCCGTGATTTCGCTCGACTACTGGATCTGAATTTTGAGTTCGACCCGATTCTGACTCCCATCCACTTGCTTAACGGGTCGAGTTTCCGGGTCGACCAGGACGAAGCTCTGACCGTGAACTTCATGCTTCAGCTGTACAATCTGCTCGACGAGACGCCATCGGCCGTCGAAACGGCGCTCCGGCTGGCGAAGTCGCTGGGCCCGAGAATCGTGACCCTGGGTGAGTACGAGGTGAGCTTAAATCGGGTCGGGTTCTCGAACCGGGTCAAGAACGCACTCCGGTTTTACTCGGCCGTGTTCGAATCGCTGGAACCAAATCTAAGTCGAGACTCGCAGGACCGGCTTAGGATAGAGAGAGTGTTACTGGGTCGAAGAATCTCGAGCTTGATCGGACCCGAGAACCCGGGGACCCGGACCGGGAGAGAGAGGATGGAGGACAAAGAACAATGGCGGATTTTGATGGAAAAATCGGGCTTCGAATCGGTGGCTCTGAGCAATTACGCGGTGAGTCAAGCGAAGATCCTTCTATGGAACTACAATTACAGCACATTGTACTCTCTGATTGAATCCGAACCCGGTTTCATCTCCTTGGCCTGGAACGATGTGCCTCTGCTCACCGTTTCCTCCTGGCGCTAATGGGTTGCCCGACAACGACCCGGTTTTCCCACCCGGTTGAATTTTTGTTTCTGGTGTGGTGCCAAAAAAACCCCCAATTCCCAAATTGTTAATACGACCCGATGGTTGATCCGTCTGTCCAGTCTTGTGTTTAGTTAGAGACTTAACTTTCAGGTCTAGATTTGTAATTTTCGGCCAAGCGGTTGTAGCTGTTCGTTAATTATTCTTCAACCAGTGTTCATATAATGGATGACGTACGTGTATTTTTTTTTTTGATACATTGGAGAATCCTGTGACTATCTACCCTTACAAACGGAGACGAACTGGCCACCACATACGCCTAACAGTCCCCATGGACCTTAGTTCGCCGGATCTGGCCACCAGGCGCGCCTAACGCTCGGGCCGTAGTTGGACTTAGGCGCCTGCAGGTCAACCCCAAACCTACGCACACGAACCTGCGAGACACACGTGGGAAATCAGCCCGTTATGACAGGCTGGCAGGCGAGCAGGTCAGATGGAAGAAGGAACCGCGGGAGGAATCGATCCCTCACCTCAAGGTCCCCTGACTTCTGCCACTTGACGTACGTGTATTTTGATATGAAATATTTCAATTTCACCACAAACAAACGAGTGGCAAATATACCAATGTTTTTAATAGTATATGAAAAATGCGTGATTTGACAATAGTGAGAGGGGAGGGAGTGGGATATGTGGGAGATGAGATGAGATGTATGTATTTATGTATACGCATATGTCTGATGTATATGTGCTATGTATGTATGTATACGCATATACATGTGGGTACATGAGATGAGATGATGGGGTAAACTATATGAATAACAGCAGAAGCCATTATGAACATTGACTGTATCTGATAGTTACGCATCGTGCGACAGCAAGACGACTGCCACCACCATTCACCCTCTCTGTGTCAGTGCTCTCTTTGAATGTGTCATGATGACGTCACCGGATTTCCCCCTGACGTGTCCTTTTCTTCATGACTCGTCTCCCCTGCACCTTCCCGTACCGGATCTCATATCCCTATTCACTTCTTATTTCCTTACCCCTCACTTTCCCCATAATTACTCAATACCATTCTGCAGAATGCCCCACCACCCAAACGATGCGGCTTCAAAAGCCCAGAAATCTCACGACGCGATACACGTGTCATGTCCGCAAGACACGTAAAATTTAAGAAGAACACGTAAGTTCTCGCACTATCTATGCTCGGCACGTATTTGACAGCTGCCACGTGTCATCCACTGGCGAGACCTCGGATAAGTTGCCGGAAGACCAGGATCACTCGGACGTGATTAACTCCTAAACAGTAAACACTAGCATTTAAAGACCGAGAATAAGACTGGAAAATCCGACAATGATCAACGCGTTTAAGACCGTCCGATCTCAGCCGTCGTCCGCCGCCGTCTTTGCTTCGCCTATTCCGTCTCGCTTCGGCCGGAAAGCCACCGCCGTGAGATTCGCCGCCACTACCGCAACAAACCAGCAGCACGCAGACAAGCGCAAAATGGAAAAAACCGAGAACCCGAACGAGAAAACCGGGTTCGATTCCACTATTTTTTTTAACTGATGTGAAAGCCGGTTTAGAGTGAGACGGATATGGTAATTATGATACTGAGAAATTGGATAAATATGGGTTCAGGGATGTGATGTCGCATTCGTTTGGAGAAGGGTACGCGACGAGGTCCGAGGAAGAAGGGTTTGGAGGAATCTATGGAGGGAATCAGTCCATCCAGAAGGATAAGGAAATCCACGAGAATCACCCTGGTAAAACCGTTGAGACTGTCCAATGTTAATTCTCCATACATATATATATATGAGCTATTTCGTGTTTATATATCCATCGTTCCACACGGGTAGTTAAAGATCATTATTAATATATCACATACAATAAGGAGGGCTGAATTATGTCATCTCGTGTGCATGTGTCTGCCATGGAAAGCTTACGACAAAACACAGGGGAGCGAAGTTTCTGAGAAAGAGAAGGCACGGAACCAGAAACATGCCAGCAACTGAACTCGCTTCATGACTTTATCCATTATACAGATTTAAGTTGGGGTTTTTTTTTCTCTTCATTATGAGGTTATGTAATAAAAATCAAATCTTGCGAAGGCATCGAGTAACTCTGTTCGTTTGTTGGAAATCAGTCGGGCATTCGTCGATGTTTACATTGCACTCGGTTGGTAATTTGTTCTATGCAACTTTGAATATTTTATATTGATCCATGGGCTCCGACTGTGAGATAAAATCTTATCATGGGCTCGGTTAACTGATAAAAGTGGGCCGGCATTTTATAAAAGCTTGTATTTTCAGCCCGTGGAAATACGAAATTAGAGTTCAATGTTTTTTTGGGGCGGTAATGTTAAATTATATTATGTTTTTTATGATATCAGGGTGCACTTGAATTGAGTTATCCAAACTCCAGGAGAAAAAGGCACACGAAGACCGTGGAGAAATTTCTTCTTTTTTTTTTGGCTAGCCACAGATTATATTTGAAATATTCGGTTTTAGATATTCGGCATGCAGATATTTACAAATGATCATATTCTATGTTAAAAAAATAAATAAAGGTGCACCAATGGGAAATGGGAAAACACAACATCCGGCTAACATTAGCTTCTATAAATGGTTAAACGATTAGAAGAAGTCCACTATTGTTTTTTGTTTTTTGTTTTTAAATAATGTTTGGCAACAAATCTTCCCGGGATCGCTCTTCAGGGCCAGGTCAGGTGGTAGGGAACAGGGGGCAACATCCTGAGGTGGGGGTTCGACTCCTCGCCGTCTCACTTCCTTTGACATGTTCGTCTGCCAGCCTGTCATAATGGGCTGATTTACCTTCCATGTGTGTGTCGCAGGCTCGTGTGCATGGGCTTGAGGTTTGACCCGCAGGCGCCTAAGCCCAACTACGGTCCGAGCGTTTGGTGCGCCTGGTGGCCAGGTCTGGTGGGGAACTGTTAGGCGCGAGTTGACCGGATCGTCTCCGTTTGTAAGGGTAGGTAGTCACGGGGTTCCGAATGTATCAAAAAAAAAATCGTCGCTAGAGAACGCTTAAGCACCTATTGACTTTTCTTACCCATAATTAACGGGAATATGAAATGACAATATTGCCCCTTATCTGTTTCTCATTCGGGCGTCAAGTCTTCTCCGGCGGAAGTCAACCCCCGAGAAAACGAAACCTTGTAGCTGTCTGTCAACATTAGGATTTCAAGCTTGCAACGAAAAACCAATAATGCCCCCACGTGTTTCCGAGTATTTACAGTTGATGCCATCGAAGTAATCATATGCTCCATGAGGTAGAGAGAGAACCCGATCTCTCTTTCCCGTCACTTTCTCATCCACTTTCCCGTTTCAGTAGCGATATGTTTTCTCAGCAGCCAAACAGTCCATTCCTAGCTCTCTCTTTGATCGTCCTCTTTGCCGGCGCTCCCGCCACCACTAGTGGCTTTGTTTGCGATGCGCTACCCGTTCGGCAACTCCACCGACTCATCACCGATCCGATTCAATTGCTCCGCTAATGGAATCGCCAAAATCGGCCAGTTCCATGTGGAGGAGGTGACGGAGACCAGCATCACCGTCGGAATTCGGCCCAAGTGCAACCGCACGATCGGGAAAATCGAACGGCTCTTCGGAGAGAACTACGCTCCTTCGAGGAATCAGAACATAATCCTCCTTCAGGAATGCGAAAAGCCGTTCGATAGCTGTATCATAAGGCGCAAATTCATAGAGAATCGCCTGAATCTGAACAGATGCAAATCCGCAAACAACGTGAGCTGTTTCTCGTCGTCGGAAGGGGGAGTTATTATGGCGGACGTGATGAGCTTCGACGATATCGTTAACAGGAGCCAGTGTAAGTTTTGGTTCTCCTCGATTACCTCCGAATCGAGCGATGGTTACTCGGAGGTCTCGCTCGAGTTCGAGCGAGTCAAGCTGAGCTGGTGGCTGAAAGGCGGTTGCGGCAACACGACTTGCTCGGAAAACACCAAATGTACAGTGGTTAAGCTCTCAGACGGCGCAGTAGGTCACAGGTGCTCATGTCTCGATGGATTTCACGGCGACGATCTCGGCGGCGGCCGTTGTCGAGGAGGTTCGTCGACTTGGTCCAATTTCAACTGCTTTGCTTGCTTGAATTAAATTGGGTCATTCACCCTCTCACCAATCACAATTTGACACGTGTCTAACAACCAACCAACCAAGGCTCATTTACGCTTTCTCCGGTCCACTGCCACAGGAGAGCAATTGAATTATCTGCTATGAATATTTTAAAAAATATTTAAAATGGGTTTTTTTCTTATTAATTATGATTATACGTATTAATCCTCGCATGATTGTCGGGTAAATGACATTAAAGTTTCGAAATTTTCAGCTTCGAATGGCCTTGGTGGATCCGTCAGAGTGATTGTCCTTGGTGCTGGTAAGTAGTATTAATTTACTTGCCCTTGGAAACACATGGTTTATGGTTTACCATTAGACATTAATCCATCTATTTTTAATCTAAGTATAGATCAAATCCCACAGACGCTGATAACGTTTGTTTTCTTTTTATTTATAAACGAGAACAGGGATTGTGTTTGGAGCATTGTTGATGGTGGTGTTGATAGCGATATGTTTCTGCCTGCAAAAGCGTTTTGTCTCATCACGGAGTCTCTCCATCGCCAAACGTCTCTTATGCGAAGTCGCAGGCAATTCCAGCGTTCCCTTCTACACATTCAAAGAAATCGAAAAGGCCACCGACGGATTCTCCGACCAGAACAAGCTCGGAACCGGAGCCTACGGCACTGTCTACGCCGGAAAACTCGCAAACGGCTCCCGGGGCGCCGTTAAACGACTCAGACGGCGAGACACCAAAAGCATCGACCAAGTCGTCAACGAAATCAAACTTCTCTCTTCCGTTAACCACCCGAACCTCGTACGTCTCCTCGGCTGCTGCATCGCCCATGGCGAACCCATTCTTGTCTACGAGTTCATGCCCAACGGGACGCTTTCTCAGCACTTGCAACGCGAAGGAGGAAACGCGCCTCTTCCCTTGCGGCTGCGGCTAGCGATCGCGTCTCAAACCGCTAACGCAATCGCCCATCTACACTCCTCTGTCAACCCTCCAATTTACCACCGCGACATCAAGTCCAGCAACATTCTCCTCGACTACAGCTTCAACTCAAAGATCTCCGATTTCGGTCTCTCCAGACTCGGCATGACCGAGTTCGACGCCTCTCATATCTCCACGGCTCCGCAAGGGACACCTGGTTATCTGGACCCACAATACCATCAAGATTTTCAGCTCTCCGACAAGAGTGACGTCTACAGTTTCGGTGTCGTTCTGGTCGAGATAATCTCGGCCATGAAAGTGATCGACTTCTCTCGGCCGTTCAGTGAAGTGAACCTGGCCGCCCTTGCGGTCGACAGAATAGGGCAAGGCCGAGTGGAAGAGATTGTAGATCCGTATCTCAAAACAGAGACCGACCCGAGAAAGTTTGGGTATGTTCAAAATGCGGCCGAACTTGCTTTCCGGTGCTTGTCCTTCCACCGGGACATGAGGCCTACCATGACGGAAGTCGCAGAAGAACTCCAACGAATTAGGGTTTTGTATACTGAAGCTGAGAATCCGGAAAGCTCAGTTGATGGGGTCAAAAGCTGAACCCCCTTTATGGTTTCATTCACGGTTTCTTGCGGTCCAAGTAAACGATCCCTGAGATATAAACGGAAGGATTGCAGAAGTTTTGTATAGACAAAGTCTAAGCTATGATCTCATTGAACCACCCTTGTAAACTAAACAATTTATTTGTATGTTTTTTTTTTTAACTCGAACGACGAACATTGATAAATATTCCGAATCGTTGACTAATCGTAGCCGCTCAGATCGTGTTCACACTTCACACTGTTTTGGTTGTGGCCTATTGGGCCTCCTTTCGGCCCAAATGATGCTATTTGTTTTTTACTGAAACAATGTTAATACATATTGGGCCTCAACGGATCTCTTACATTTTCTACTCGTGGCCTATTGGGCCTTACGAGAATCCAAAGAGAGTTTTTATAAAATCCGTTAATTTTCATGATAAATAATGGTTCTGAAAATGAAAAGTACAACAACTAATCTGACGCCGCAACGTACGTACGCCTCCGTATAGTATGAGTCCCTGTGGACAGCTTTCGATGCATTAAATAGCTTCTTTTTAAAAAGAAATATTTGTTCTTTCATTCTGAATCATAATAATACCGAGAAAATGACATTTTTCTACACCAACTTTGCAAAATGTGATTTTTTCCTACACGAATTTTTAATTTGACAAAAAACTACACCAAATTATCAAATGTGCCAAATTGATACACGAGCTACCCAATTTAACTGCAATTTTCTACACAATCTGAAAACAGTGTTAAGTGTCCGTTAACCGCTGACGTGGCACGCCACGTGGCGGCTGACGTGACACACCACATAATTTTTTGCCACATCAACATGTCATGTCATATTTTTAAAAAAAATCCGAAAAAATATGAAAAAAAAAATCGATTTTTTTTTTTAAAATTAAAATAAAATAAATAAATAGCAAAAAAATATACATATATATTAATATCTATATACAAATAAAAATATAAATATATATACAAAATAAAAACATACACATATATATACAAACATCTATACAAATATATATATACACATATACATACAAACATATATATGTATATATACATATACATATACATACATACATACATACATACATACAAAATAAAA